TTTTCATTCCTGGCTCTGAGTCTCGGGGTTGTCGGAGGCTGGGTCCCAGCTCAGCCAGAGCTTCCTCAGGAGTAGGCGGACCCAGCCCCTGTGCCTTTGCTCCTTGCTCCCTACCTCAGGGACCTCTGGGAAGCACAAGAGGCATTCCCTGTGGGTCCCCTGGTGGGAGGAACCTTGTCCCAGGCCAGGGATGAACTACCCTCCTCAGCCGCCTGGGCGTCACGTGAGCTGTGATGACAGGGTGGGTGTGCAGGCAGCCCAGGTGACCCAGGGTTCCTGCCTACCCCGGGAGGCTCACAGGAAGGTCAAGCCTTCTGGGTACCTGGGCTTTTTTCCCACCTCCCCAGATCAGGGCGCTTTGAAGGGGGTGGTCCACGGGACCTGGCAGTCACTGGGCTTAGGGAGGAAGGAGAGGAGTCCTGGTGCAGCAGGGCTGGGCCAGGAGTCTTACCAGATGAATATGCAGCAATTTCCATTTGGACCTTTTTATTTTCTTGGAAGGAAGAAGAGGGGTTCAGCTGTGGAATGAGGCAGGTTCTGTGTTTAACAGAACAGGAAATGGAGACACTACTCCACGAGGAGTTGGGCGAGGTCAGGATCAGACCCGCTCCCTGCTCACACTCCGCTGGGCTTGAGGCCGCCCCCCACCCGCCACTGCCTTCCTCTCTGCAGTGGTCCTTGGCTTCTCCGTAGGACCCTTACAAGGGACTTCACAGCTGAAGCTCCCAAGTGTCCTTACCTCCTAGCCTGGGGTCCCTGCCACGTCTTCCTCAGTAGGAATAGGGCTAGCTGCTTCCTCCCCTGGGGACCTTTCCTGCTCTTCCTCCTGAGACAAGATGTCAGCTTCCTCCTTAGGGGCAGCATCCTTCAGTCCTCCAGGTGCCCTGGGGGTCATGGCCTACAGGAGGAACAAGAGGGCAGACTATGAGCAGAAAGGCCCTCAGAGCACCTCATCCCTCCTCCTGTTCTCACACTTGGGGTGGTGTTCCAGTGCTGCGTTTCTCCTGGGAAGGCCTCTCCCAGGAGAGCCCCAGCCCCTACAGGGAGGCCTCCTCACTTACCTCTGAGGCTGGCTTTTTCCCATTCTTGCCTTTGTGTCTCTGCAGAGGGAAACAGGAGAGTTGACAGCTGGCTGTGAGTGACTGGGAGTCCTTTCCTAACCTAAAACCCATCCTCTCCAGGTGCAGTCCCCTCACTGTGTCTGCCAAGAGTGCCCAGGCAGCAAGCCCACTCCAGGGCAAGAGACTTCCCCAGCCCCTTACCCACCTGAGTGGTCATGGGGCAGCATTTATTCAGCAGACCCCACACTGGCAGTAAGGTCTCCCCTGTGGGCTTCATGACAAGGAGAGAGGGAAGGCTGAGGCGAGACCTGTGAATTGCCACATAAGCAAGCACCTTAAAAATACCAGGTATTTAAGGAAAACAACCTTTACAAACTTTTTTCTTTAGTTTTTTTTGTTTTAGAGATCTCACTCTGGAGTGCAGTGACATAATCATAGCTCACTACAACCTCAAACTCCTGGGCCCAAGCAATCCTCCTGCCTCAGCCTCCCAAGTAGCTGGGACTACAGGCACGTGCCATAATGCCCAGCTAATTTTTAAAATTTTTTTAGAGATGGGGTCTCTCTATGTTGCCCAAGCTGGTCTTGAACTCCTGACCTCAAACAATCCTCCCACCTTGACCTCCCAAAGTGCTGGGATTATAAGCGTGAGCCACTGTGTACAGCCTAAAAAACTTTTTAAAAACTCTAATTGATGTCTTTAGAAAGGTAAAACTTTGCATTCATGAAAGAAAAGGAGGCTCTAAAATAGAAATGTTCAAACAACCAGTATCACTAATTCT